ACATCCCAAAGATCTTGACCCACTAAATAGTGCTGCAAGAAAATGCTCCACCTTTTGTAGTTATTTCTTTTAAGAACTTCAGGTACAATCACACTTGCATTTGGAGCTACTATTTCCATCTTGCTGCCTATGAAATATTTAATCCCATAAAACAATTTCTGTTAGTGTCAGCGTATAAACATGAGATAGATGAACCAAACGGACTATGTATATATACTTATGTGGGATTAACGAGATGAATGTGCTTCCCCAAGCAGCAGCCGCGCGCGAGTACTAACGAAACTCAAGAGCATACGGCTTGTTTTTTTTTAACAAATTCATAAGGGACCGGATTCGAACCGTTGTCCTGGATGGGAGAATGCACTTATACGTAACCTTACGTCACTGGGCCGAAGGCCCAATTGGAGAGCATACCGTTTGTTTAATTTTCAAAACTCAAATGAAAGTAATTTGATCATATCAGTGAGGCTATATATATATATATAGTTATGGATCATCAATAAGCTCTATTAGTAAAAGGAAAAGTAGAGCTATACCGGAAAGATGAATCACCTGCTGTGATTTGGGATTTGTGGCCATGCTTTAAATTGTTTTATTATTGAATAATATAAAACGTTACAATATTATATAAAAACTGATACACACTTTTAAGACCCTAATATAAATATTTTTTGGTTCAAAAAATAATTAGAAAAAGGACTGCAACATGACCGGTAGTTAAAAGCGTAAGCTGAACTACTGCAACGAGCAACCTCATCTATACATTTCTTTTTCAAATTTGGATTTCAATCTTTCTTTTGCTAAATATAATTTCAAGTTCCAAGGATATTTCAATCTCATCTTTTCTAAATTTCACCTAATCTGATCTTTCCAAATTAACCTTTCAATATTCAAAACATCTTCCCCGATTCTTTTTCTCTCTACTTTGTCTTTCCCTTGAGATCCAGTAAAACACGGAGGCAGAGAAAACGCATGAGCAACAAAGAAGATAAGAAGATCATCGGGGAGCGGCTAGGGAGTGGAGAGGTCGGAGGTCGGGCGGCTAGGGAATGAATCAGACTTCAGAGTCACTCAATAGACAAGGGAGTTGATATAAAAATAAAGTGATATTTCTTCCTTCATTTTGATATATCATATTTCGAAATAAATAAATAAATAAGAAAAGAAAAGAAGAGCCAAAGACCATATAGTTCGGCTTGTGAATTTTATAAAATGTCAAATTAGTCCAATAATAAACATAAAACAAGCCCCAGTTAACGGTGAAGAGCATAGGGCTGGGCTTTTTTAAATCGAACCGATGGTTTATTTGAAAATCGAACCAAAAAAATGAGTTTGGTTCGATTTTAAGGGTTTTTGGTTTTTATTTTTTATTTTTCTTCACCGTTCAATCTCTCTTCCCTCCATATCCACCTTTGCTTGTAAGTGTACAAAATTGATCTAAGGATTTGTGTAACTTGTGTTATCATCGGATGGGAGTTTTAAATATACTTTTTTACGTATTAATTTATATAAAAAATAAAAAAATTAATATTAATGTTTATTTATGATATATAAATATTTTTATTAAAAAATTTATAAAATTAATTTTAATTTTTAATTTTATGATATATATTAATATAAAAAAATATAATAAATATATTTTTATTCTGTATTTAAAAATACAGAATAAAAAAACCCTTTTACTAAATTTGGGTGTCTGAAGGTTATATTCATTTTTTTTAATATAAAGTCTAATTAAATCAAATTTTTTTAAAAAAATTTTAATATTAAAATTATTTCATCCACAAATTTTAAATTTTATTTTTAAAAAATCAAACTTTGTCCACTCCGATTGACAAGCTTCGTTCGTACCAAATTAACTATTGCTTTTCTCCGACAGTTGCTGTGTTTTTCCAAGCGAGGAAAGGACGCGGACTAAAGAATGTGGCTGAAAAGTGGCCATCTGGTTGGAAAAGCAGAACGGGGAGAGACGGACAAGGGGACGGTGTCAGTGGAGGGCATTATTTGCTTTATATTATAATTTTGGAAGAACAGCCATAAAAGGTTAGGAAAAAGTATTTCTTTTTTTAACTTATTCAAATTATTTATATATATTAATTAAAAAAAAAGTATCATGAGATTTGAATATACTATTTATAAGAGGTGAATAAACCTTGGGATGGTTTAGGCTACTAAACCAGAACGGACTGCTCAAAGGTAAGAAAATTTTGAGATTAAAAGTTAAGATAATGATATGATAGAAGTTATGATATATAAGGTATGTTTTTTAAGATATTAAGAGATTGATTCTGTTATTGGTTATGATAATATATGTATCACTTGATATATAGTAATAGGGTGGTCATATAAAAATAATTTTTTTGTATATTTTTTTTAATAAACACTTGCATGTGTAGCAACTATTCCATCTTTGGGCCTATGAAATATTGAAGTAAGTAATTTAAACGATGAGGATCAATTTAAAATGAATTATCAATGCAAAAACCAAATTGAAAGAATTGAAAATGCATGAACCAGATTTTAACAAGCTGACACCTTGAGGACGACTTTTGATGAAGTTAAAAAACTTAAGTGGACTCGAGCGCATAAAATTGAAACTGTTTTGATCAGGTTGACTTTCTTTTGAAATATTTGATGGTTAACCAATTTAAAATGAATTATTTAATTGGTTGATTATGATTAATCAAGAGACAATTAGGTACTCAATCCCAAATTATGGTAATTAATCAAAATTAATAAAAAAAAGATTAATATCTTTAATTAAATTTCAATAAGTTAACTTTAAAGGTACAGTAAATATACAATTTTGTAATTAATTTACATTAATTATATTAATTAACATTTATTTTATCAACATAAATAAGAAAATAATTTTAATTATTTAA